GACTATAACTGACGTTCTGGGGCGGGGGGGGGGGCCTTCAGGGATCAAAAAGTTGAATTGTGATAAAATCAGGCTGGCCAGATCTTCTGATTTTTTACAAATTTTCTGATTTTGAACACTTCTTCTGATGGCTTTCTGATTTCTGATTTTCATTTCTGCTGTTTCAAACGTGCTAGTTCGTTCTCATATGAATGCCCGAATTATTACTATTGATAGGACATAACCACATAACATCTATCTACATAAAAAGATAATACAGTTCAACAAATGTACTGATTTCAGCGAATAAAAGATCAAAGAATGTAAATAGTCAAATGAATCCTCTTCACTCTGATTTCTCGCTTGATTTGTCATTCTGAGCTGAAACATACATCGATGAACTATTCTTGTCTTTATTTACTTCATATTAACGAGATCGTGCTATATGACAATTGTAACAACAAGTGCTGTGTTATCTTCTAATTCTAACTGTCCCTTTATTTCGTCTATGTTCACTCCTTTTATACATCGGTCACGAGAGAGAGAAAAATATACAACGTTGACGAAAGAGTTGAGTAATAGAAAATGAATAGAGAATGAGGCAACATCGTTATGTACAGGTGCACAAGGAAGAAAGAAATGACCATTGAGGAATAGAAAGAAGGTAGAATATGATAATGACACAGCAAGAGAGAGAGAGAGAGACAGGACAGACGCTCAAATGTTTGCGTCGAATCTATTTTTAGCAAGATGAAACATTCATGGACCGATTATAGAAACAAAATGGATGTACAGCTTGTGGCTGCAGAATTGAAGCTTCGAGAAAATTGTGAACATAAGTGCAGTTATTTTCACGATTACGTTCTCTCACAACCAGTTCTTAGAAAAATTCGAACAAACGAAAAATATGAACGAAAAAAGCAACGTATATGTGAAAATTGAAGCATGCGATATTTAGTTTCAATGTATATTTATTTTTTGTACTGTCAAATGTTGTTATTGTTTTTTTTGTTTATCATCTACCAATAAACCAAACGAAATCAGGGCATAAATTATATGTTGAACGAAACATGTTTGTCTACTTGTCGCATTCGAATCCGCTTTCTGATTTTTTTTGTTCTGATTTTAATGGGAAATTTTCTGATTTTTGAATTTTTTTTTTTTATTTTGAATTTTTTCATCGGGCCGCCACCCTGGATAAAATGCAAAATAAACTTGTGAAAAATAATGAGGGATCAATGCTGATTAATCGGGCTAATAAAATTAGGCCGATCTTATTTAGGATGATCAGCCCATAATTTGTCATCCCTCCTTTGACCAAAAGAAAAGTCACAGAAAAAAAAATAAAATATATGTCATTTAACTCATCTTTTTGTGTTAATTCCAAATATAATATTTGTTTGAAATGAAATTCGTGTTATTCTCCTTGAAAATTGTCAAATATCATTCAAAAAAGTAACAAAAACGAAATAGGCCTTCAATAATAATGAAATAAGAATTTTGTTAAGTGGTTTAGTTTTTTAAGTCATACAAGATCGTTCGTTTTGTAGCACTGACAAAAGTTCTATCGATTACAAAATGAAACAATTGTAAAGAAAGTTTCATTAACATAATTAGTTAACGAGAAATATTCATATTTGAAATGCATTCAATGTCGACTTTATATTAGGTCTAGTAGATATAAAACATTATTTCAAATGAATAATTCTATTATGAAAATCTTGTTTGGGAAAAAAGATTAGCAAAATAACTTTGAATAATTTTCCATAGTTATTTGTTTCCTGTTAAATGAATACTTACGTAACGAGATAATATCAATAGTTAACTGCTCATTTTGTATGTTTTGAAGATAGATCCAAACTAAAATGCTTCAAGTTTAACATGAAAATATGAAATTTTAAAGAAACGGTTAATATTTTATTGTATATATAAATCTATTTGATTGAACCTTGAAAATCCATAGGAATCGAAAAACTTTCTTATGCACTGTCTTCGTTTCTTAATGTAAAATTCTCATGAAAAATTACCTTGAATGAATGCATACAATTTCCAATTGAATATGTGTTCTTCTACTATTTGAACGATTTCTTTTCTTTTCTTTTCTTTTCTTTTCTATTCTATTCTATTCTGTTATTCTCATTTTTCTTTTTTTATTATTTAAAAATTTCTAACAGTATAAATAGTCAATCAAACGATGATTATTGAAAGTTTTCTTTTATTTTGTGAGTAAAGTTAGTTTTGAGATAGAATAAATCGGTGTTGTTGATACGATTGATTTGATGTTGGTGAATGAAGTGCACGAGAATAATTAATATAGTTAACAAAACTTTGTGGACTTTTTAAATCATTATTAAATAATGATGATATTGTTTGTGTTGTTGTTGTTGTTGTTGTTGTTGTTGTTGCTGTTGTTGTTGAACTATTTCTTGATATTGATGTTCTTATAGGAGATTTTTTTTCTCCTAATACACGTCGTAAAGTAGAATCATCATTTTGTGGACGTTTTACACGTGAAGTTATATTTTGTTGTTTTAAATTACGACGTCGTTCAATATCTCTAATAGAAGCACGAATACAATCATATATTGTTGAATATTGACGAGAAGAATTTATTTGTTGTGATGATGATTCTAATGAATAATATGAAGATGAATCTTTAAATTTTGATTGAGATGATTTATTATTACGAGATGATAATAAACAAGAATGATTATTTTCATTATTTATATTTATTTTATCTTGTTTTGTTTCTTCTAAATATGTATTTCGATATGCAATATCTGGTGCAAGAGTTGATTGATTATTTCTATAAGAATACCGTTTCCAACCAAATGATGAACCTGATGTATCATGTATATCAAGATTACTAACATGTAAACCAATCATATGTGGTGGTTGACGTTTTTTAGGTTGAGAAGGACGATGTTCAGTTGAAGGACTAGTTTCATAATCTCGATATTTATCATTTGGAACTGTTAATAGAAGAACACTAGGCGGTGGTGTATGTTTTTTATGGAAATACAATGTCATATCAACATCGACAGTACTCATCGTTTTGTATTTTGATTTTTTTTCTTTATTATTCGTACGTACGTGAAAGAATAAAGAAACTGATGTATGTTGACACTTTACATGTTACCAGACACTTGAATAGTGAGTGTTCTATACAATAGTAACAATTACATAGCAAATTTAATTTCATTTTTTTTCAAAACTATTCAGTCTTCGATAATAATATTATTTCATAGAGTGACATTCTCTCTTTTTGCTTTCTTTTTACATATTGATGTACACTTTATTGATTTCTCTTCTTTTTTTTTTTTTTTTTTTTTTTCTTTCATATTATGATTGGCGTCGTTATAATTTTGATTTTTTTATGTTCGAATTTCTCATATATATACTTTTTAAATTAATTGAGACCTTAGAAAGAAAAAAACGGTAAGCTAATAGAAAATTTTTATAATTGATTTCATCGAAGTATTAAAATAAACATTGAAACTTGATATATTTTATGATTAATTAATTTAACGTTCTGATTATTTATTTTAGTTTTTTGTTTTGTTTTGTTTTGTTTTGTTTTGCTCGAAAAATTAAAAAGAAAAATTAGTTTTCCAAATTATCAATTAATGAGATTAAATAAATATAATTATTTTTTATTGATTAAATATTGATTAGTACTCTTTTAAATAATAATATTTTAATGAATTTCATTATGTAATTGATGAATTATAAATTAATATTTGATTGATAATAAATTAGAAAAAAAAAAAAAAAGAAAAAATATTTGAAAACAATGCATAAGTAAGCTTTCATATAATGCTTCGATTTGTTTCTATTTATAAAGACGAAATTATTATTTATAATTATTGATTATTAAATTATTCATGTAGAATAAACATGACAGTTTAATCATTATATGTAAAGATTTAATCATATTTAGATAAATAAAAATAATTCTATAGATTTCCTCTCAATTTAATGTTAATTTTGACTTCAACTGATTTTTTTTTCAGTGAATTATATTTTGTTTATGAGTTTTTTATTCAATATAGAAATCAAATTGATTTGTTCGTACTATTATCAGTATATTGTGGTACTCAGAAAAAATGACAGGAGTTTTTTGTCTCAGAGAATAACTAACCGTTTTAAAATATCAAACTATCAATAATTCTTGTTCGATTCGAATCATGTTGGTATTTTAATTTAAAATTTTATTGAATTTTTCAAATAATCCTTTATTTTTTACTCTTTTTATCAAATTATTTATATTTGGACAATTCTAAGTTTATAAATGAAATTTTTTAAATAAATTCTACGTATTTGATTGATTGTTCAAATATGATTGTTGATGGATGAATTCAATTTGTGTATATTCTATATAAATAATATATTTCTTTTTCAAACAAAAAATTAAACTTATTATAATATGATATTTGTTAGAATTGTAATCTTATTCCAGAAAATAAATAAAATTTGAAACCTATTTTATTATTAATACATAACAATGAGACAAAACATCTATGACTTCTTATATTTATAAATACTTTTCAACTATGATCATTATATAAATCATTATCTTTTGTTCTTTTTCAAATCAAATTCTTTTTTTCTTTTTTTTTTTTTCTCTTATTTTATGTCAATAATATAGACACTTATAAAATTGTAAAGTTAGAAAATAGAAGAATAAAAGAGAATTGTCTATTGTCAATTATGTTCATGATTTTTATTCAATCATCATTCTTCTTTTTTTTTTTTTTATCGATAGAACAAAGAAAAAGTTAAAAATCAAAAATCCTAATCTATACTAAAGTAACTATGTAGAATGATATTTTATCTTAAATTAAATTAAAATTTTTCTTCAAATAATTAGTTGATTAATGCCGACATCGAGTCAATCTCAAATTCTTTCTGTTGTTGATTATCAATTACTTCAACAACAAGCACAACAACAACAACAACAACAAACAGCGAGTGGTCAAGATA